TAATTTTTTTAAAACGTTCTGTTAATTTAGTGATGTAACAACCAGCAAAAATTAAATATGAATAATCATAAAACATACACACGCTAGCAAAATTACAGATCATCATTTGGTTTGTCGCATTATTAATGCCATGATTAAATACCTAAATCTGAATCACTTAAAACCATCAGTCAAACAACTTTGAAACTTAAATATGGTTCAAATTAAAAAAGTCAAAACACTGTAACATTATAAACAAATATTTATTTAAGGTCTTGGTTGAAATGAAAAAGAGTAAAGAGCGGGATTCGAACCCTCGACCTTCGGCTCAATACGCCGCTGCTCTAACCACTTGAGCTATCGTGACAAGTAGTTAGAGCTGCGGCTATTGAGCCGAATGTCGATGGTTCGAATCCCGCTAGTTTTTTTTTTTTTTTTTTTTCATTTCAAGCAATACCTTACATATAGTTTAATGAATTGAAAAAAGTCATTTGGCCAATCAAACCACGAAATATAATGGATTATAAAGAAGCTTTATAAAAAAACCAACAAAGAAGACATTGACTTTTCAAAGATTTATTTATGAAGTCCAATTTTACACACAAAGGAAATTTTATCTGTTATTGATCTCTTATCTATTAAAACGGACCAAATATTTTTGTACGTTAATCAATGGAAGATTGTCTAAGAGATAACTAAACTAATGGTGGCTACTTTTTTGTCTCTCAGTGTAGGTTAGGTACTTAACTGTGGTTTACATAACGATATGTCTGTCTTGTGAACTATTTATTGTTTTCTTTAATATTAAAATTTGTGCAAGTTATTTGATTAGTAAATTAAATTCAAATTAGAAAATAAATTTCGATGTTGTTTTTATGTCGATGATGTTAACGTTATTTTAAAGTAAAAGAAGGAAATAAGTTCAGTTATTCTATATCACAACGATTAAAAAGATGTTAAGGTAATGCTTTTAACCAAACTTTTCTACAAAATAGCTGAAGAGCAATTGTTGGGGATACAAGTTTTTAATCTTCAATTTACTGTGGATTAATGCTTTGGGAATTTAATCCTGGAGCGTGCTTGTCCGACCAGTTTCAGTTTAAACCGAGTATTTCGCATCGTGTGTACTTAATTCGTACAAAAGAACCTTGATGCTTTTAGCTGAATTATGCTTTTAATGTTTGCCATGAAAATTAGTTTAGCACGGTGAAGGCCAGGAACGTACATTACGAGGGCTAAACCAAAAACGTGAGTAATCACTTTCTACCTTGAAACTCAGAAAGAAAAAGTCTAAAAAGTGGAGTGAAAAGGCTCAAATATTAATTACTGTTTTTGTAGTTATGCGAGTTGAGGGCACGGTTAAAAGCATTTTCTTTTTAACGAATATTCTAATTAATGATGGCTGTTAAAAAAATCTAAGACCTAAATAAAATTTTGTTTTGTTTAAATCATACGATAATTTTTCAAATATTAAAAATAAAATTATTTTATTATGGGGTGGATGAAACTAATATAACATTCACGACATGCTAGGTAGAAATCAAGGTTAAAATTTAAAACTCTTTTTTTCAGGAAGGATAAAGACGTAGGATTGATTGATTGAAATGTAAAATTTTAGGCTTACTAGGTCAAAAATAATTAGACGCGTGTTAGAATGTTCTGGCCACTGGAATCTGCTAGCCTATAAAAATAACATTTCACCTACATCACACCCGACCGCATCTCACGATATCTGAATAAATAACATTTCACATAATTTAAGCATTTTTATGTTTTTTCGGGCTTTATTGATCATGTATTTTAAGATTATTCTGAATGTCAGTCGAAATATTTAACATAAACTAAGAAAACAATAACTAAGAACTATTCCGTTACGTCTATTTCTATATTTGCTACAACCAAATTATGTGTAGCTGCCAAATTTAACTTTGATTTACTGACCAATATAAGAAATTGATATTCGTTTTTTGCACTCCCAAAAACTCCTGAATGCAAACATTTTAGAAGGTAAAAATTTTAGTCTTACAATTACCTCTAATTTTTTTTTGAAAAATCAAAAAAATTGTGTTAACTATGGACCGAATTCACCAATCTACTGACAAATACATGTAGAAACGTCGCCTTATTGGAAAACCTGGAAAAAGAGAAAATTAAATCTAACGTTGGAGCAGTTTTTATTATTATTTTTCATTCCAACCTTATTTCTTTCACTAATGTTAATAATTCATTAGATTTCGTGGTCCGATTGACCAAATAACTTCTTTCAATTAATTAATTTTTATGTAAGGTATTGGTTGAGATCAGTTTTGAGAGATTGTTCGATATGATATGTTTGAGCAATTATTGCGATGTTTTTAAAATTAAAAACCTTTTCTCTCTGCCGATCATTGCTCCAAGCTCTTTGCTTTATCTGGAGAAGGATGTAGTCTTTCCTTTGTTTTCCAGCCTGCAGACTTAATTCCTGAGATTGAGGTGGTTAAAAAACTTATTTAACTTTAGAGCTGGTTTAATCTGTTTAAAAAATACCATTGCGACTTCAGTCTTTCCTTAGATGATATATCTACCTGGAAGAAACAACAATCAAATTTAACAGTAAAGATGAGGATGATACACCGGGCAAGTCTTTAGCGAATTTCTTTACACAAATTTCACCCCATGAGTTGAAAGGAGGTTGAGCTATAGTCATTGTGTAACTTAGGACCAAGAGAGGGGCTCATATTCATTTTTTGACTGTATGTCCAATATTAGCAGAATTCAGAACGGACAACATCTTTGACAGAAACAAAATTTAAAAAAAAAATGCAAAATGCTTTAGGCAGTTTGAATCTTGTAAATTATGCCCACTTCGCTTGATTTTACAGATATTATTCAGTTATTGAATCCAATTATTAATTTTTATCTTATGTGACTTTATGTTAAACTTTGTAATTTTCAATATTTTAACATATTGTCAATGCAATATTTTTTACATAAATATAAATACTTAATGTATGTTTTGTATATTATATTGATTTGTCGCTTTTTGTAAGTTAGTTTTTCTGCATTATTTTTAATTATTATTATCTTTACATGAAAACTATGCATCAACATTCTCCGGCTGACGGATTTCCAAGCTGTATATGCTTTTGAATCTTTACATTAGGTAAATTTCTAATTATTCTTAAATAAAGCATCCTATTACTATCATTATTACCATTTTCAATTAATTAATCTTTCTGTGTAAGGTTTTGTTGAAATGAAAAGCTAGTGTCACGAGCGGGATTAACCCACGACCTTCGGCTCAATACGCCGCCGCTCCACCACTTGATTGTTGTCACGATAGTTGAAGGCCGTGAGTTCGCATCCCGCTCGTGACACTGGCTCATCTCAACCAATACCTTACATAAAGATTAATTAATTGAAAGAATGTTAATAATTTTATATATTTGATGAGTTAGCCTTAAGAACAAAATATTCTGACTTTGAACGTTTATGTAAAATTCACAATTTCGTGGTCCCCTTGACCAATTAATTAAGGTTTTTAGTTGAGAAATGGCAAAAAGGAGGGAAAACTCAAAAGGTGGGGTTGGTGTCCGTGTGGATCGAGGTCACGATAGCTCAAGTGGTAGAGCAGCGGCGAATCAAGCTCGTGCCATTGACTTTTTTATCTCTACTAAAAACTTAATTAATTGTTTGGGTAAAAGTTTAATTTGAATAAAATTCAGATGAGTTATTCATTTTTAAGTGGGAAAACACATCGGAGGAACACAGTTCAAAACTATATTTCGTTAAAAAAAATTAAGAGTATTAAAAGCTGCCAAAAAATTCAATTGATAAAAAAATGTTTCTAGCTTATTTTACTGGAAACTATTTTCATTGTTTTAACTTGCAATATGTTTAACGTTGTATATCCTCGATCCGGTTCATTATTATAGTTTTTGCTAAGTAAAACCTTATTCTTAAAATAACCTTAATGTTACCAAAACAAGAGTAGAAAACGTTATTTAGCAAAATAATTTAAATAATTAAAATATTTTCCATCATACTCTTATGACAAAAATGCTTGGACATGTGTCTATTATTTTTCGAGCAAAAAATGTTAAGCCGAAACAATTGACCTCACGTCCATCTCCCATTCTGTTAACTAAAATATATAGGTTGTTAGTTAAGGTTAATTTTTAATGACGTTTAAATATAATTTTCTTTTTGAGGTTATCTAGATTTTGTCTTTAACGTTTTTCAATTCGTGAAAACACGAATTTTCGTCCGACCACGCCCTTTTTGCCCTTTTCCTGACCAACCCTCACATAAATTCAAGGCTCAAACGTTAGAAATGAACAAATAAGATAAAGTTTCGCACTAACGTAACATACACAATATAATGGACAGATTCATGTTCTTACAGTAAACAATTTTTATTTATAAAAAGTATCAAGATTGTCTAACAACGTAACTATTGTTTAAAATTTGATAAACAAATAAAAATATTTACAGAAATGCCTGCAGAAAAGAAATTATATTTTTGATACCATAATTTTCTTATTAACGCAATTTGGAATATTTGATTTAAAAAAGTATTGCCACTATGTACAAAGTGAAAATACTCGTACAAAGATAAATTCGGCAAATATTAATGTACCACCCTTAAATTAATGTATTTAGTTTGTTAATAGTTTGCATACCAAAAATAAGATGCCTTACATGAATTTGTAAAATTTAAACAATGTTTATAAATCCCAGGCTCTGAAGATATACTCAATAAAGATCGAAACGATGGCACGATAAAGAAAATATTTTTCTAAAACATACGTCACACCAGACCGCATCTCATGATCTCCAAATAATCACTAATTATTATTATTATTATTTTTATTTATTATGCTAAATTATTCTGTGTTTTTGACGTATATGACACTTTTGTTGTTCTTGAGCTAAATTTTTCTCTGTTACTTCTACTACTGTATATTAAAATCCAATAATTATTCAACCTTTGGCAAAAGAATAATATTTTCAATTTTTTTTTTTTTTTTTTTTGGTTTTAGACGGAAGACTCCACGGACGGGCGGAATAATCGGCTTAAAAGCCACGATAGCGTCGAGGTCGTTCTCGTGGCGTACACGGCTGGCGAGGAAGTCGTGCACATCGACAAAATGGACCAAGAACAACCAAAGGTGCCTCGATACGTTCTGTAGCTGGTGGGTGAATGTTTTTTTTCTTACTGTCACTCCGAAAGACGCAGTTGTTTTTAACTTCCTCCCTGAGGATTTCCTACCTTCCGAGATGAGAGTAAAAAAATTCAGCTTGCTTTTGTTCCCAGTCGTATTTAAATCAGTTCTACCCGCGGTTCCGGATCAGCGTAAAACGCCCCTGTTTTAAAAAAGACAATGTGATGAGAAAAAGAGATCGTCAGTTTTATGGAACCTACACCCCAATATCTTGTTTTACTACCAAATAAAAATTTAAATACGGGTTCACGCAAAGTACTATTTCACCCTAACTAAACATTAGATAATAAAAAAGTAAAATTGAAAGACGGATATAGCTCGGTGTTTAAATAATAAAATTAAAACTAAATTGCAAGTATTTATTCCGTGTGAGTTTTTATAAATGACATGTCTTTATTGTACAAAACAACTAATATTTCATGTGTGGAGTAGTTGGAATAAAGTTGTGGAAAGTTGAATTAACTTAAAAAGTTAAATAAATCGAATACAATTAAGCATCAGACTTTGAATAATAGAGACTTTTTTTCCAATCTGACATGTCGGATACCCTCCGGAAGTGTTGCTGTATGTTCCCGGAACACGTTGCACACCAAGTAATCGATTAGCCAGAAGCATAAATGTTTATGACATTTATCGACTATACAATATATTAAAATTTCATTTTATTTTTTTGATGGTGGTTACCACACAGAAAATCATTCTCATTACAACAAATGAGTTACAAACTTAATTATCTATACAGTTTTACAGTTGGAAAGTTATTTTTTGTAACGTATATGCAAGGTGTCTTTTTAGATGGCCCAGCTGAATATCTCTTGAACCATTGACATTTAAAAAAAATCCGATTAATATTTTTAGTCTAATATGAAATTTTTACCTTTTTTGGTGAAAAATTATACAAGGCCATAAACTTCAAAATTCCAAATACGAGACTAACCATCTCGAAACCTTATCTTAAAGGATATTTGATTAAAAACAATGGTGTAATCGGATTTTAAATCGGTCAAAAAAATGATAAATTTATGAAAAAAGTTTGAAGCATTTCGTTTGTTTCGTTGTTAATTCCAATAATTTGCTTCTTCACTAAAGTAAATATTAATTGCCTTTATTGTTTACATTATGTCATTGTTTGTAAAATTTGCATTTTGAGAGGAAATCTTAATTCCTGAAAGTAAATAAATTTTACAATATTACCTAATCGTTAGATTCAATGTTCCATTCAAAATGAACCGATGACCACATTTTTTCGATGAACAGCGAGTTGATATGTATGACTGCTTTATTGATAGTGGTGGTATTGCGCGCTGTGCACTCGAGTTGCATTCCCAGAAATTTCCCGACCGCCCCAGAGTAAACCACAAAACGTTTATTCGTATATGAGAGGATACGGATCAGTTGCTGTTTCATCATCAAGAAACCTGCAGCAGCGTCATTTTGATGAAAAGCTGAATATTTTACCGTATGTTCGCGAAAATCCGAATTCTTCTCTCCGAAATATTGGAAGAGTGTTAGGTTTTTTAAAAAATAAAATCAGAGATGAAGTCCGGTCTTACAATTTTAAGCCGTATCGCTCCAGGGAATTCGAGACTCTGATTATGACAGGCGTCTAACTTTCTTTGCATAAATGTCGATTTGGGACTATGAAAAAAACGTTCTTCCAACCACTGATGAATCCAAATTCACCTCTAATAGCATACTAAACCGTTAGAATTTTTGAACGTGGGCAGAGGAAGATCCGAGAATTTTTTCTTCTTGTCATCATCAGCTGGTTCGCAGTATCAAGTTTGGGGTGGACTTATCGAAAATAAATTAAGTCGACCTTATTTCTACAAAAATAATTTAAATGGTGCTCAGTCCCACAAATTTTTGAGGAAGTTTTACCTACACTATTATATGATGTTCCTCTGCAAGGACGACAAAGAAAGATTCTCCAGCTTGATGGATGCCCAGCACATAATTCTTTGTAGGTGAGAAGTTATTTGAATCACCACTTCTGGGATAGGTGGATATGACCTCATGGCCCGATCTGTTTATCTTGTCAACCGATTTAACTCCCCTTGTCTATTTCACATGGGGGCTATTTAAAAACGTGTCTACGCCAATCATAACCCAGCAACCTCAGTTGAAGAACTGCGGCAAAGGATAGAAAATACTTGTCAATCAACCTGACTCTATCCGTCGTGGTTAAAATTACCAAATTTTTGAATTTTTACATAAGGCAGGCAGTTCGAACATGAAAGTGATTAATAGTAAACCAATTTAAAATCCTAGTGCACCATTGTTTCCAGAGTAAAATATCCAATAAAATGATATGTCAGAATGTAATCGTATTTGTAATTTTCAAGTTGAACTGAGTCTGAAGTATCCTGTATAAGTTTTCTCCAAAAAAGGTAACAATTTCAAACTGGACTAACCAATAATAAATAGGTGTTTTTTATTTATTGATAGCGTCATTGGTTCAAAAGAAATTCATCCGGGCCATCCTAAAAGGACACCCTGTGGAGAAGATATACCAAAAACCAAAAATGTTGACTTTTAAATTAAGCAATAATAAAATATTGTCTGACATTTCCATTAAGCTTCATTCGTCAATTTAAGGTCGAGTAAACAGACCATTACTGAAAATAGGTCGATGTAGCAAGTAAATTGGATAGGTGAAATAAAGTCAAGTGACCATTAACACGTTTTGTTAAATGGCCGTTTGGCCATTTTTCTTTTCTTTCACTCCTTTCAAATAATTTACCGATTGGTGTTTCTCCTGTGGAATAGTTCTGAGTGAAAAGTTTTTCAAAGGTATCGTTCAACGGAATGGAAGCCAGAATTGAAAAGCGTCGTACCTTTTCACCGTGAATACCAATTAAAGAAACGGGCTAGATGGATGGAAAGAGGTAGAAATGATTTCATTTCCCATCGGATAATTATACTGAGTAGGAACACCCAAGAAAATGAAAATGCTCCTTGACCGAACCGCTTTTTAGCACTTTCAAGCTCATTGCTGTGTCCTACATCCTTCTTTAAACTATGAAAGATTAATTTTACGATGTGTAAAAGTTTTTTTATACTGCTACTATATATTTGTACATAAAAAAATTTATTCGTTTACGTTGTAGTGGTCAATTGACCAAGTTACACCTTTCAATTAATTAATCTTTCCATGTAAGCTCTTGGTTGAGGTAAAAAGTCCGTGTTAGGAGCGGGATTCGAACCCACGACCTTCTGCAAAATACGCCGCTACTCTCCCACTTGTGCTATCGTGACTTCGATCCTCTCGGACACCAACTCTCCATCTCAACGACCATCTTTTTTATCCAAACCATAGAAAGAATAATTAATTGGAAGATGTAACTTGGTCAATTGACCACTAAAACGTAAATGAATAATTATTTAATAAGTAAAAGAAATATCACTTTACTAAACAGCTCGCCGTGGCCACTTCATAAGTCACTGAGAATCCAATCCGATTACACGACATTTGAAACTGGCAAAAAGAGGGAAGTTAGTAGGGTTGTAGGATGAGATATTGGTGTCCGAGAGGAACGAAGGCACGATAGCGCAAGTGGTAGAGTAGTGGCGTATTTTGCAGATGGTCGTGGGTCGAATCCCGCTCCTGACGTTGACTTTTTATCTCCACCAATACCTTACATGGAAAGAATAATTAACTGAAAGATAAAAAATTGTCTTAATGACTTATCATCTCACCTATTTCGAAGTTTATGCAGCCCAAGTTCATACCCTAGATCTTATCAATTCTGCCGACTAAATTAGGCTCCAGGGGCCGTCAGCATCTAAGTCATTTTAGCCCCCAAAGCATATAAATCTTAAAACTACACTCTAAGAGTCATGTGTGGTGATTAGTGATCGTTAATCGATATTTATTTAGAAATCGTGAGATACGGTCTGGCGTGATGTAGATTTCAGAAAAACATTTTCTTTATCATGCCAACGTTTCGATCTTTATTGAGATCATCTTCAGTGCCTGGGATTTACAAACATTGTTAACATATAACAATTACATTTTGGATGTGGAAAAGTGAATTTATACCATGCAAAATATATATATATATTTTTTTTTTTAAATATATATATTCAATAAAAGTATTTCTACTCACTCAAAGTGTTTGTCTTCTGTGTAATTGTGCCATTCTTGCGTGTCGTGTCAAGAGTGCCAGTGAGATTTTGTTATTTTGTGTTTATATACGTTGGATTTTGAAGGGGTGGGGAAGGATGTCGGTATAGAAAAGACATTTTTGTGTAAGGCGTCGGCTTCTTTGAGGTGAAAAGAGCCGACGAAGGGAAAAAATGTGTTGGTAATGCCTCGCCCAGATTATCCTTTCAGGATTATATAGAAAGGGATAAATAAGAAAAGGAAAGCTAAATTGTTGGGAAATTAGACTATGTGAAAAATATTTGATGTGTGGAATGTAATGTGATGATATAGATATGTTATCTGCATTGAATCTGATTAATGATATTGGCGTAGCTGCGACTGAGTTTACATGTATCTGTTCTGTAATTGATGCTGTGTTTATCTATGTTAATATAAAACATTTCTAAGAAATTACGTTTATGTTTGTTGTGTTCTGTGTGTAATACTTTTGGATTTTTGAAGTCGAAATTGTGTTGGTATTTAAGATGGTGGGTAGCGAGTGCTGTAGGATTTTGCTTGGGTTTTTTGCAATCATAGATATGTTGCTTTACTCTCTTGTCCAGATATTGGGATGTAAGACCGATGTTAGTTGCCGGACAGTTTAAACAGTTGATCTTGTAGATTACGTCAGATTTATTTGTTATTGGTTTTGGATGTTTAATTTTGGAAAAAAGTGTTTGAATTGTTTTATAATTTTTGAAAGCTATTTTGTAGTTATCGGACAAGAGAAATGAGTTTCATTTATGTGATAGGCGTTGGATAAATCGTATGGAAATGTATGCTCGTTTGCCTGTATTCGATAGACTTTTTTAGATATATAGAT